TGAAATTTCGAGTGTGATATACAAAGGTAAGAGAAAATTTTAGCAAATGGCTATTGTTAAAATCATGCAAGTGTGTAAATATTGGGGTAAAAAAATAAGTAATTAAACTAGCAACTTTTTTTTTATGTTATATAATTCTCATTTTTAAAAAAAAGTAGATCAAAAATTAAATTGATTTAAATAACCTCATCAATTATTAATCAATTGATTTATAGTAAGAATTATCTACATTTTATCTATTTTTTATATAAATTTATTAAGTATAAAAGGTTGAATCTACTAAGGTGTTTGGACGAACGTTTACATTGGACATCAAAAATATACGAAACTCGAATAAAACAACATAAAATACGGGCGTAGCCAGTGAGAGTCTCTGGATTATAGTTTATTGTTTGCAAGTTTAATTTTTTGAGATAATAACCGACTATGTCGGCTTAGCCATATCACAATCATCGACTAGGCCAAGCTTATATGTTTTTAATTGACTACAGTCACTGGATGGAGCAATTTTATTCAACACATATGAGGCACGTTTTTTAATATCGTCATCTTTTACTGTATCCAATATACGATTGATTAATGGAACACAAGACGTGAGCTTAGATAGTGAAACTGTTGGGACTGAAAGCATGAAAAAAATTCTCAATTATTGTATAAATAAGTGAGTTTCTAATTACAAAAAAAAGAAATTAGGTATAAAGTACGTGAATACCTTCTGTCGAAAAATTATCAAGTGCGCGTATAATATGGCGTTGAATTTCGACATCAGACACAGGAGAGTCACCGATAGCTATAAGTGCTGGAATAACACTTTCCCAAGATTCTTCACTTTGGCTCATATCGTGTTCTTCAATCGCTATAAGCTGATATGACAACATTCGTGCCTTATTTTCCTCTAAATTAAAATTTGACAATTATTTTATAATTCAATTGATGATAATCTGATATACTAAACACATTTACCATATAACGCGAAATTGGCCAATAACCGCGCTACATGCCTATAATTGAAGGCTGTTAGAATTTTGTAATAAGATCTGGAGAAATAGAACAATTTTAACTTATAAACCTTTGGATTTCTCTGTCTGTGAGAAAGTAGCCAACCATTCGACATAAATTGGATAACAATAAAGGTTGTTGAATCAAAAGTTGCTGTGATTCAGCTGTTAATATATAAGAGTTATGCATTAAAAATATTAAAAAAAATATATATACACATATATATAATGTATATCATATAATGTACATCAAGTACAATATGATTGTTACC